AACAGATATGCTAATTATATTAGATATGATATAAATGATGATAGTAATGTAAATAATAGAAATATAATAAATATTATATCTGTCCTATTTGGCAGATATGGTAGATTTGGCAGATTTGTCATATATGACTAGTTTATCAATTTCTGCCAGTTTCACTTCCAAGAAGTAGCAATTGTATTTCAAATATCTAAATATAAATAAATATGAATAAACGTTACTTTTTTCAAACTTTGTAATAAATAATTTTATATAATAATAAAAATGTAAAAAATTTTGACATTTAAATCCAACTAGCTTATAAATATAAATTATATTTATTTTTTGAAAGTCATTAAAAAAATTATTATATATATTATTTAGGTATTGACGTATAAGTAGCTTAATTTGTATATTAATCAAATCAAATAAGATGATATTTTATATATCTTAAAAAAAATTGGTTTTTTACTTTTATTAAGAAAATCAATAAATTTAATACCTTTTTATCTAATAAATTTGTCCAGTTGTTATACAAAATATGAATTAAAAATTATAAGTAATAAAGGTATATATTTATATGTCAATAATAATATTAATTAGTTTTATTTATATTTAGCATTAAAAATTGCAGATTAGTCTGAAGTATATATTATATATATTATTTATGAATTATTAAATTCTTTATATCTATATCATTCTTGCTTAATTAATTGTAATACATTAAATAATATTTATATTAAAAATAAAGAGATTATTATTTATAATAAGAATAATACTAAAAATATTTTATGTCAAAATAATAATAAATAATCTTTGTATATAATGTAAAAAATGCTTTATAAAAATGTCTATAAGTAAATTTATATTTTTATTTAAATTTATTTTATAAATTTATATGTATAAATATATTAATTAATATTATTTATGTATTATAGATATTTTAATATTTATATTATATGTATAATTAGTTATATGCATCATGCAGACCTTGTCTTTTTCAGTATTAATTATGATTTACAATTAAATTATTAAAATCTAATTATAGTAATAATCTAATAAGAATTCTTGAAGAATATTTATTTCAAATTTCTTATCTTAAAATTTTAAAAATGGATTGAAAGATCAAATTAATTAATTACATCTAAATACTGTGATTTAATGAAATTATGCTGTTTATTTTAGATAAAATAATATTAGATAAAAATCTTAATAAGAATTTGTGTGACTTTTTTTTATTATGGATTAATATATATATATATAAAACTATTAACAAGAATATATTGAATCAGATCTTTATAAATTTGAGGTAAGTTTACTAATAATAATAACTTCTTTTATTTTTTTAAATAAAAATTAATGTTAATTTATTTTTTTTATTAAAAAAATCTATTATTATATAAAGTAATTATTTATTAAATTTATGTTAAAAATTTTCTATCTAATTTAAATTTGTTCAAATTCATAGTTGATATTATTATTTAATACTATCTATTTGTTAGTTTAATGCTGTTAATCGATTCACAAATAAAACATATGAATTATTTCATAAATCTAATGTTAATAACCATATTATATGATAAATAAATATTAAATCAATATATAAATACAAGCTATTGTATGCTATTAAAATATATTTATAGCAATTGTATTAAAATTTCAGTTACAATTTTATAATAAAAACATTTACCATAGAATTACATCAAAAACTACTAAAAAATGACATAATATACAATTGATCAATTTACAATCAACTAAAAAATATATAAAATAATACATATGATTTATAGATTTATGGATTAACAAAATTTAAATTAGCTATTAATAATTATTTTCAAAATATTGAAAAATGGTTATTATAAAAAATTGAAATGAAATCATTTGGATAGAATTGTTTGAATTTGCATATTTGGATAATAATTATGAAATAATTATTGTGTAATATCTGATTATTATGAACAAAATGTCTATTTAGAAGTTTGTGTTAAAATAGATAAATTAAAATATTATGACTATTACTTAATAGATAATGGTCTATGCTATGCGAAGGTATTATATTATGACCTAATAATTTATTAAATTCTTATTATAATAATTTAATATTATTTTATATATTATAAGTTTTTCATATTCTTCAGCTTAATTCAAAAAACTGGATCAGTAGATTATTGATCTTGCACTTGTTTATTGGTATGACTTTGCATATCCAGATGATATTCAAAAGCAATATTTTTATAAATGTGTTATTATTAAACATGTCGAATATTATACTTTAATTCCTATTACTTCAATTGCATATTATACCAAAATTTAATAACCCAGAAATTTTCTTCATAAATAATTATATTAAATATTATTAAATAATTAGTTAATAATTAAATGCTTTTTAAATAATAAATTCAGATGCTTAATTAGTATTTTTTTTTTAGAATACTTAATAAATATTAAATCAAAGCACTTTTAAGTATATTTTAAAATAGCATTTTACAAAGCATTTATAATTAGTATTTTATTTGTATTATATTATAGTAGTAAATAAATGCTTGTTTTAAACATGGAAAAATGCATATTGAGCATTAAGTATTTGGTAAATGCAAATTTTAAATGTTTATCAGATGATTGCGTTTAATAAATATAGGGTAAATGTGAGGTTAATTTCGTAATGTACTTTTAATTATTATATAAATCAAATAAATAAATAATTATAACAATTTTATTTATCAGTTATCTATAAATTTTAATATTTTCTGTCTTTAAGATAAAAGTGTGCAAATTTTCTACTCTTTATACTTTAACGCAAAATATTTTATAGTAAAATATTTATGCAATTGCGTAATAAATATATGTAGCCAATCAAATATGAGTGTGTAGGGTGTGTAAGAATTTATCTTACCACCATGGGTAAGTTAAGGATCCTGTTTCTGAAAATTCAAGATTTAAAGATATTGGTAAGTTTTTCCTAAAAAAAAAATTTAAATATGTAATGACAATCGGGCGTCACTTTCTGACGTGACTGTACAAGTTTTTTCAGATGAACTTTATTATATGATATAAGAAGAAATTAGATGCTATCAGAAAAGCAATGTAACAGACATTCATAATTACAAATTATATCTCTAGGCGATAGTGGTGGCAGGGATATTTGTGGTAATGATAGTACCAGGAAAAGGATACCAGAGCTTTCAGGTGGTGGTAATGATGCCAGTTATTGAAACTATATGCAAAAAGTTATTTAAATCACGCGACTTGACCATTTCACCTCAAAAGCATACAAATTATACTTACGGGCTTATTTCTGCAATGCTTTCTTAATGGGATCCCATATTGTAATTTACTCGTTCCTGGTGACGAAGATTTTTTTTTCAGATTAAGGGTGGTGCAGTTCTCTTTCTTTTCCTATTAATTTTTTGCTAAGGATTCTAAAATTCTGAATCATCACCTACATTATCACTGGAAAGACCATTATTGTCTACTTCTATAGGATCCCTATCTGAAAATCTACTAAAATCTCCACCGAAGCCTTCAGCAAAATCTGGCTTTGAATTAAATCGCATTTTCTGATATATCTTTATCATATTTGCTTGAAGAAATGGCAAGATCAACTTTCTCCAGCCTTATTTTTTCATCTATTTCAGTAAGAGCAAAAAGAATGCGCTTCCTTTCGGCTTTATATTCTAAGAGGATATGTCGCTAAAAGCAACAAAATACGCTGCATTAGATCAGACTTTACATCGCAAAATCACGTACGCATGAACACCGATCACTTTTGCCAAGAAAAAATTACGCACCTTATTACATTCCCAAATTATCCCCCAATAATCCTCCAAATCTTTTTCGTAACGTAAACGTTCTGATTGAACCTATTATAGATAAGTATTAATGGTGTGCGATTTTTACTTAGTAATAAAGGAAGGTACATAGCCAATTTCTCATCCAGAATAAGCAGACCTTTATTAACGACAAAATAGTGTGCCTGAATAGAGGACTGGAGTAGCTACCAAGTGGTCATATCCAGTAATTCTCCTGAGTCAACGACACACTGGACTCGATCAGGAGTTACCTTTCTTTGCAAAATAAAAACGCACCTTTTTTTCTAAGGTATCAAAAATATTTCAGTCTAATATCCTTTTCGCTTCTGTTAAAAAATATTAGACCTAAGTATTATTAAAATCCTGCAAAATTGTTGCCAAAGATTCTATCGTTGAAGTTACTATAATATTTTGATAACACGATAGGAAGCTCCAGAATGATTTATTTTTACAGACTCTTCAATATGAGACGAGTTCGTTATGACCAGTATAAACTTCTCAAAGTGAAGTAGACATTATATAGGTATTATTAATGAAAATAAGTTGCGAAAATACAATGTAAATAACAAGAAAAATATTACTTGTTGTATCGATCTAACCCACGACAATTTTATAAGATAAATGCTAGAAGACACGTGTCACTTTGTGCGAACTTAAAGCATTTTTATAACACGTATCGAAGTTCACAAATGTTATTTTAGTATGATCCAGATTAAGGAGTAAACCAGAATAGGCATTTAACGTGCAGGTGATACATTTCACAAAACGATCACTACATAAATTCTACAACTCTAAGTTTGAGTTGCAGATTATGTGAAAAAAATTACAGCAAGACTTCATTTAATGCTTTATTATTTTTATTGAGAAATGATATTCCTATTTTTTGAATTCTTTTGATTGCATTTATGCAATATTAGTCCAATTTTAAATTTGTAATCTGATTATCCTTTTTTATTTCTATAAGGAATAATTATTTCTTCTCCTTTATGAATTCGACAAAACTATATTATTTAATCATAATATCGGTAGATATATAAATTTAAAATTAGATTATGTTATATTATTAAAAGGCATTTATATTAAATTTAATATAATACATACTTTTTCCTATTGAAATATTACCGATACTTTCAATGGCAATGGATTTGATAAAGTATTCGTTACAATTATTAATAAATTATTATATTAAAATAAAAATTTTTTCATTAAACATAAATATAAATACATTTACCTAAGTTGATTTATTATAATAAAAAACTGTGAAAATTAAATAATAGGTATTGAAAATATATTTTGAATTTTATTTAATAGTTATATTTCTATATTTTGCGCTATATAAGTAGATTTATAATTATTTAAATTATATTATTATTAATTTTTTAATTTACTAGTTGATTCTTTTACACTGGTGATTTTCTTACAAATTATTAATAGATTTTTTACTGCTGGTATAATATTTGAATTATTGAATTGTTTTTATGTTTTTTTTTTCAATTTCAGAAATAAATACTTTATTAAAAAAGTATAAAAAATTATAGCTGATATAGGATTTATATTATAAATTATTGTATTTTTTATAATAATCAAGAAGTATATATTTATAATTTTGATTATCATTAGATAAAGTCGTTGATAATTTTGTAAATTATAGTTGTGTTTGAATATAATCCAATATAATTATTAACAAATTTCTTTTCTCTTGAATTTTTTTTTCATCTTATATAAAAAAGACTAGTTGAAAGTTCATTTAAATTTAATTATATTGCAACTCTTAAAATATATTTGAACTCAAGCTAATGAATGGGTATATATAAATGTAAGTGTATAAATATATTATTATTTATTTAATAAATTTACAAAATGTTTAGCAAGAATTTTCAATTTCTTGTTGGAATTGATCACCTATGTATTACGTTACATTGGCTCTTTCATCATCATCATTTTCAACTATCGGATATCTTCATTTTATTTTTTGGACCTTAAAGCAACATTTGGAATATGAAATTACTAATATAGCACAACACAACACATGTTTGCTGATTCAATTCATCATAAATTTAGCGAATATTATTTAATTATTAGTAATATCACTAAAATTGCAAGTGTTCAATTTTTGCAATTGGTGATGAAACTAATAATGCTATATCTTTGATACGAAATAAGATGAATTATTATATAGTCACAACAGATATAAATGGACAATCTTCAGAGCATAGAGAAATTAATGCCCATGTTCATTTAAGGTATCTTGCCAATCGATTTCAACATATTGCACAACCCAATATAAATAATGAATTAGAACGATATCTAAATTTACCTACAGATAGTGAATGTGAACCATTAGAATGGTGGAAAGTTCATAGAAAACAATTTCCAATTTTATCGACCATGGCACATGATTACCTTACAATTCAAGCCACAAGTGTGCCATGTGAGCAAATATTTTTTTTTCAATTGTGGGACTTACAATTTCTAAGTTGCGTAATAATTAGATCCGGATACAGCACAAGAATTATTATGCTTAAAGAGTTGGATGGCGGAAAAAGTTGGTGAAAATAATAATGATTTGAATAATGCTTTTGTAAAGCTTGATAATTTCATATTATAGTAATTTTATGTTTATCATTGTAAATTCAATTTATTTTAATAATACTCTGTAGGATTAAATGATAATTTTTATTATTGAATTATTTGAATAGTTTGAGATAGTAGTTTATTTTAAATTTTTCCAGTTTATAATAAGAAAGGTCTTTTAAGAAATCTATACCGTTAATTAAAAAGCTGGCAGTTTCGACCATTGGTTTAAAAAACCATAATTAGCCGCTAACTCCCTAAACTGGAAGTTTGCTAAACTGAAACTGACCAGTCTACCAAATACCATCCCTACAAAAAAGGTGTGAATTCAAATCGTAACAGGTTAGTCTATGAATTTCATAATGGTCATAGACAGTTTTTGAAGGCTTATGTGGGATAATGGCTTTGTGCTTTATTTATTTACAAAAAAAAAAAAAAAAATTTAAATCTCATTTTTTTTTTTTTAAAAAAAAAAAAAAATTCCTTTTTTTTTCCGAACGAAAAAACATTTACAGAGGAATAAATCAAAAAATTATTAAAAAATGTATAAATTGAAAAACAGATACTTACTTTTAACTATAATCCTCATCACATTTTACGTAACATATCAGAAAAATAAATCTTTTGTGGAATTCTTAAGTGGTAAATATTGTCAATGTTAACTAAACTTACGAACTCATAATAATAAAATCGACTTTATAATCATTTTAAGAATTTGAGAAATTCAATACATATGAATTCAGACGAGAACACCTAAGAAGCGATCCTAACCTTAACGTTAATATGAGCAATTATCCGCCGCATGTCAACCTTCGTCCAAGTTCTGATGAATTCCAATATGTTATATCGGATTCCATAATAGTATGAAATTCGGGATCCAGGTTACGAATTTTCACAAGCAATTAAAAGTAGATTGTTCTTTTATTCTTTTAACAAAATTATATGTAAGCATTTCACGTGCGTGAGCCTTTATACCTTTATAGGTATATGTATTTACTATATGTATATAATTCCTACTAAAAATGATCAAATAAAAATTGTCGAACATAAAACGATTTAAAAAAAAGTATTTGTTTTTGAAACTTAACCATTAAGGTTTACCCCCAAAGATTTTCATATGAAATTTTAAACTTTGACATTTGATAAATGTGTTTTTTTTTTATTGGTCACTATATTGCAATAAAAAAATATCTTTTATGAAACTTTCAAAAAAACTAATGAATTCAATAATTTAAAGCTTTATTTTCGTTATCACTACCCAAAAATGGATACACATGGATGGGTAGTTACAACTTTTGCCAAAAACCATGATAAGTTCCGCAATCATGTTTGTACTACGCCGCCTAAAATTTTTGTCAATACCCGTTAAATTTTCAAAAAAAAACAAAAAAAAACGGGTTATTTGTGAAATAATAATAATATATTTAATTATTCACATTTAGTGTCCGACATAGCCTCATTCAAAGCCACGTATTTCCATTGAATTCACATTAGATGTCCGACATAGCCTCATTCAAAGCCACGCATTTCCATTGAATCAATAATTGTCCGTAGCGAAGCGAAGGACTATATATGTTTTTACGTTAAGAGGTTCAATAATATGATCACGTGACGATGTCTGTTTGTCCGGCATACGTCACTAAAAATTTGGATAACATTGATTTACAAATAGAATATATAATATTTCGCTCTGGACACACAATGGATTCCATTTCCTAGTTTTATTAGTCCGGAACGTAAGCGAAGGACTATTCTGGGACCTAACAACGGTCCCCGTTCCCTAGTTTGGTACTTATTACTGTCAAAATGTTTTATCAACCTCATGATGTAAGGTACCCACCAAAGATGATTATCAAAGTTCACAGCTTTCACAAATTCACGGAAAAAAGCAATAATTTACAACATATTGTTGTCTATTTTCATAGCCACAAAAGATTAGCATCATATATATATATAAAAAAAAAAAAAAGGTTCGGTTATTATCGCCATACTTAAGCCATAAGACGATCTATCATGAGATTCACCCTTTATCAACATCTACCGTGGTATAAGAATATTTGGATCTTTAATCATACTGTATTCTCAAGGAGGAGATATTATAGTCATTACGCGTGAACGATTGCGGATCGATGAATTTTCGATATATTCTAGTTAATAAACAAGT